ATGAATTCGTCATTTTCCCATTATAAGTGAAGTGTTATTTTTAGTCTATGTAATTACCCTTCTGTTTATATGTGGCTATTTGTAAGCACGTAGTAGTTTATAATTAGCGTTACAATTAAAACTTTTATTACATATCTTTTAACTTGAGACTTTTTACATGGCCTGGACTTATTTTTGAACTTTTTGAGTAGATAGCTTTAGAATATTGATTTAGTTCATATAAAAAATACATTTCAAGCTGGGCGCTGGTGGCTCACGCCTGTAATCCTAGCTACTCAGGAGGCTGAGATCTGAGGATCATGGTTCAAAGCCAGCCCGGGCAGGAGAGACTGAGACTCCCATCTCCAATAAACCACCAGAAAACGGGAAGTGGCGCTGTAGCTCAAGTGGTAGAGCGCTCGCCTTGAGCTGAAGAGCTAAGGGACAGCGCCCAGGCCCAGAGTTCAAGCCCCACAACCGACCAAAAAAAAAAAAATACATTTCAGATGCTTTCTTGAAATGTTTAATGTCATACATACTAAAATGAATGCTTTTATTCAAAATACATGGTCTCGCCACTGTATGTGAGGGATTGTTTTTAAGCTGTTGAAGATATAATAAAGAATAAAACAGGGAGGATTGGGTGAGGCGGCAGGGCGAGGATGGGAAGAGATGGGAAGGGGAAACAAAGGAGAAGGCTACAATGCTTGATAAGAAATGTACTCATTATCTTGCCCATGTAATTGTAACCCCTCTGTACAGTATTTTCACAATAAAAAAAAAGGAAAAAAAGGAAGAAAAAGAAAAAGAGAAAAAAAAGAATAAAACAACTCTGCCCACTCTTTTAGTTTAGAGACAGACGTTAAATAATTTAAGATATATTAGGTGGTAATAAATACTTTGGAGAGAAATAGAGCAGAATGATGAGATTATAAAGTAGTAAAAGGGGTATAAGAATGGTTTGGAGGTGAAGTTTCTTAAGGATTTGTAATTTTAATTATTCAGGAAGTTCATCTGGTAAGGAGACATTTCAGCAAAGATGAGGCTAAATATCTGGATATTCTAGGCAAGAGGAACATTAGTGTGGAGCACTTGGTCACAATGGTTGGCATGAGGAATTTCAAAGGAAGACTTTTTTGTAGCTGAAGTAAAGACCTACACAGGGAGGACACAAAGAGAATAATGTGAGAGTATACAGACATTCTGTAGTTTATATAGTATAGTATATATACATACACAGTCTTTTGTATAAACATTCCATTTGTATGAATACAGAAATCCATAAGTAAGGTTCTATTTGACTAATCCTAGCAGTTGACCTCTCCGATAAGAAATGATAAATGTTTACATCATGTCAAGTGGAAAAAATGATTGAAATAATCAAATTTCAGAATTAGTAACTGTAGAGTAGAAGAATTCACTAAGGAAATTACTTCAATAATGAGCAGGAAATGTGGAAAGTCAGGTAAGAGCAAGGTACATCATAGAACATTGAAAAATGTTTCTGTGAGGGCGACTAAAGACAGGATTTTTGACAACTATGGAATATATTTTCTCTACCCTGAATGCTGTAGGTTTAGCTGTGGTAGTGTTGTATTGTAGAGAATTTGGAGGCTCATTTAGAGAATGGTTAGAGATATGGGATGAGTGAGACGCCTACATCACGTATTAACAGCAGAGTCAGATTAACGTGTTTCATTGTTGGCAGTCACAATTGTGGAATATTGACTATTGCACATTGCAGAACAGTTAATTTTCCTCTTTTGTAGTAATGTTTGCCAAACCTCATAGGGCAGTGATCATCTTCCCAAATGTCTAGGAGAGAGACATTTCTCTAAACAATAGCTGCATATAGACTTTGGAATGGCTGCTGGGAGAGAAGTAGGGTTTTCTGAGGTTTAGGGTAGTCATTGATGTGATTTTGACTGTGTAGTAACAACACAGAAGTAGAGAAGTATCTTTGGGTTTAGTGTTGAAAACTAAGAGTCGAAGAAGCACAATTACTGTTGATGCCATTGTAAGAAAGCAGTTATTACTACATTTAAGGCCTGTGTAGTATATCAAGATAGTTTCTAGAAGGATGTAGAAGAAAATCTAGGAATATAAAGTTAAATATATGTGGAAGGGAACTTGATTTGGGTTTTTTAGGGGAGGAGAGTAGTACCAGAGATTGAATTCAGGACCTTATACTTGTTAGACAAGTACTCTACTACTTGAGCCACTCGTCCAAATCTATTTTGGGAACAATCTTCCACCTTTGCTTATGGCTGGCTTCAAATTGAGATCCTCTTGCTTCCGCCTCTTAAGTAGCTCTATGTATTAGCTCCAATTACCTGTGAGAATCACCATGCCCAGGAAACCTGCCTTCCTGTTTGCCCCCCTGCCTGCTTCTCTCTCTCTCTTGCCCTCTCCTCCCTCTCCCTCTCTTTCTCCTTCTCCCTCTCTTCCTCCCTCCCTCCCTTCTTTCCTTTGTTCCTTTCTTTCCTTTCTCTTACCTTTCCTCTCTTCCTCCATCCTTAGCATACATTGGCTATATGGGGTGGTTACTGTACAGTATACCATGTCAACCGCATCCTCTCCATCACTTTCCATACAGAGTTGTTCTTTTTTTTTTTTTTCTATATTTACTATTTAGATAGCCTCTCCCACTGATAATAGCCTTCCCAACAAAACCTGTTTTACTCTCTTATCATAAATGAAAACTAATCATAGTTAAGAAATCAAGTCAGAGCTTAGATCACATAAACCTGTGGTCACAGCACTTGGGTGGCGGAGGAAGGAGGAGTATTAAGTTTGAGGCCAGCCTGGATTACATGAAAAGTGGCAAATAGGCTGTACCCTCAGTGTGTTATATTTGGAATAAGTGCTACAGGACAAGTATTAAGGTAGTATGAAATTCAGAGAAGACAATGATAAAATACCCCCCCTTTTTATTTCAGAAGCTGAACCACACAATCCCAAATTGAATTTACTAGTTTAATTTTGGTGTGAATTATGAAAGACTTTTGTCATTCTGCTATTTTGTGGGCATTCTGTTGTGCTTTGTTCTTCAAGCTGTGTTGGCCAGAGTAGCTCTGTATCTAAATATATTTAACAAATGATACTTTGTTTATACAAATAATTGGGCTTTCTAAAGCAAGCATTTGAAAATTGTAAGCTGTAATGTTGATTATATTGCCCTTATAAGCAATCAAGGCCAAGTTAGGTCTTTTGAATTCATATTTAGGGAGAAAAAAGGAGGATAAAGAAAGTAATATAAGTGAGGTAAATTTTATAAAAACAACATAGGCATATATGTGCATATGCAGTGAAACTCCTTTGTACAGTTTTTTTTTTTGTCGGTCGTGAGACTTGTACTCTGGGCTTGGGCACTGTCCCTGCGCTCTTCAGCTCAAGGCGAGGCGAGTGCTGTACCACTTGAGCCACAGTGCCATTTCAGTTTTCTTGTGGTTTATTGGAGATAAGAGTCTCACGGACTTTACTGCCCGGGCTGGCTTTGAACCTCGATCCTCAGATCTCAGTCTCTTGAGTAGCTAGGATTACAGGCATGAGCCATCTGCGCCTGGCTAGTTAATTGTAATTTAAAAAATAAATTTATATCTAATCATTAAGAGCTAAAGACTGAAAGCAGAAAAATTACTAATGAATCATCAATAACTCATTTCCCTTGATAGTAGTTAAGCTTAGATATTTGTTCATTGTATTTGATACATGTTTAGAATGATTCATGTCTTGGTCTTCCTATTATTTCCTTAAACTGGATTGTATTTGGTGTTTATTGAATATGTCCATTAAGCATATTCTAGATAAAATCTGAGGTGTATAGCTTTTGTCTCCTCACTTTGGGTGACCATATTGTGTGATAGATTATTTTATAGTAATGCTTTTGAATTTGAAATACAAGATGAGAACTTAATGTTGCTTTAACAGTATTCACAGCAATATTAAATTATAGTCTCTAAGTCGTTTCTGACTTGGATATTTATGCAGAAAAATACTTCATTTTGTTTTATCATAATTAACTAGATATCAACTGGTAATCTGAGTTAGTGCCATAGAATTGAGGGAAAGAAAAATGAAAATATTTTGGATAAACCAACTACAGTCTTACGCAGTCATAGACTATACTCTAGTTTTCTTTTATTTATTTGTTTTGCTTAAGTTTTGAACTCAGGGCCTTGGTTGCTAAGCAGGATTGGATTCATATCTTCACCTCTGATTTTTACTGTATGTTTTTGAGCTATGCTCTTTGCTTCCTGCATTGGTGCCTAACTTAAGTTAAGCTTCCTGGTAGCTAGGATAACTGATAAGTTTTACTAAGCCCAACTGTTTGTTGAGAAGAATCTCAGAAATCTTTTCCTGCCCAGCTGACCTTGAATCACAAACTTAACAATATCAGAGTCCTCCCAGGTAGTTAGGATTATACGCATGAGTCACCATAGCCCAGGGTAGAAATTTAAAGGGATGAATAATACTAATATTGGTAAGATAACTAAAAGTTCCTTAAGGCCTTGAAGCAATTCCCTTTTGGGGGAGGGGAGTCAAGGGGCTTGAATTCTGGGCTGTCCCTGAGCTCTTCAGCTCAAGGGAGCGCTCTACTACTTGAGCCACAGTGCTCAAGTAGATAAGAGTCTTTTGGAGATAAGAGTCTCACTGACTTTCCTGCCCGAGCTGCCTTTGAACCGCGATCCTCACAACTCAGCCTTCTGAGTAGCTCGGATTACAGGTGTGAGCCTCCTGCACCTGCCCAAAACAATTCCTTTTAAGATGATTAAAGTTCTTGAGGGTGAATTATACTATAAAGGAGTTTATTTTCTTTCTGTTATTATTGATCAATCCTACTCAGTATCTTAATTGTTCATAATTGTTTCAGTTACTCCCCCAAAAGAGTTTCAATGAATTCTTCAAACTGTCCAATGTTGCTCCTCTTTGTTAGAATTTTTTCCCACCTGTTTGTATACAAATCTGATACTAACAATAAATTAAAATCAGAGTAACTGACCATCTTTTTTTTATTGCAGACTTAATTCAGTGCACAAATGAGATGAATGTGAACATCCCACAATTGGCAGACAGTTTATTTGAAAGAACTACTAACAGTAGTTGGGTGGTGGTCTTCAAATCTCTCATTACAACTCATCATTTGATGGTATATGGGAATGAGGTAAGAATAGTTTTTGTTAGCAAGTATGTTAGTGTGATGTTTGATTATTCAATTTGCTTTTCTTCAAACAAAACTTTAGTAACTTTGCCACTGAATAATACAGATAAAAAGAGCTAGATGACTAGCCAGGAATATAATTGTATATCCTGAAATTTGAGGAAAGATGGCCTGTGAACTAAAAAATAGAAAGTGGGCCAGAGCACAGAGGATTTCAATAATGGGATCAAGAAACAAAGATAATTTCAAAATGTGGTTCTGAAGGTGGTACTGATCTTTGCAGTTCTGGTTTGTATACGGAAAATGCAATTTATTAGCAGGGATAAGAGAGGGAGAAACTGAGGAAAATCAAAGGAAGGGATGATATTGTCCAAAAGAGAAATGTATACATTATCTGAACTGTGAAATTTTTACCCCTCTATACAATACCTTAATAGTAACAATAAAATTATATGAAAAATACCATTACTCTCTTAGCTCTTAATATTGTAATACATTTTGAAGCCGATTCTTTTAGGATATGCTGAAATGAGAGTCTTTGATTTGCTAGTTCTTCAGAATCCTGGCTTGTTAATTTGGGGTGATCTCAGGTAAACAATGAATTGGGATGTTAAGCTGGTATTAAGCCACTACAAATATTTTTTTAAAAAGGGAATCCTAATAAGAAGTAAACTTGAAAGGCATTTCTTTAGTTATCTGTTTTGAGGTTATGAAGGAAAGTTAAGATCATATTCCATGGTAAGTAAGCCCTAAGAAAAGCATTTTTACTGTAAATTTGCAAAAGATGTACTCTATATATATGCACACACATGCTGCTTCTGGGACTTGAACTCAGTCCTTTTGCTCTTGCTGAGCTTTTTTTGCTTAAGGCTGCCACTCTGCCACTTGAGTCACACTTTGACTTCCAGCTTTTGCTGTTAAAAGATAAATTTGTGGACTTTTCTGCCTGCACTGCCTTTGAAACTCAATCCTTAGATCTCAGCCTCCTGGGTAGCTAGGATTATAGCATGAGCCACAAATGTCTAGCTAAAACGATATGCTATTATATATCCTGAGAAGCTCTAAATATTTATAATTGGAGACCCAGTTAAAAAATGTCAATGCAGCATTGTTCTAATAGGAAAAAGTGTAAAGAACTTTAATACCATAAATGCAATGGATGCATAATGATGTAATCGTCATTGGAATACTAGAACATCATTTAAAATAAACTAGATCTACATTTATTAAATAGGTAATCCCCTGGAGAAAATGGAGTTAAAAATGCACATTGGAAAAGACAAGTATATTTTTGTTAATTTGAAATAGAAAGTAAAATTAAGTGCCATACAGGCATGGTGATATGGCCTATAATCCCAGACACTTGAGAGGCTAAGCAGGTGGGAACTTTTGAACCCAGGAGTTCAAAGTCAACTGGGTAAGTAACATATAAGACTTTGTCTCAAAATAAATAAAATACAGATGCGATCTGAATATGATTAGCAATAGTCCTAGTATGCGATAGTAAAACTAAAATTACTGGTTGTGGTGCCTATTTCCTTATATTATCTTGACTTTAATTAGTAGAGTTTGGGAATTAAGGTGTGATAGATTCTTATGTACTAGTAAAAATCATGTATTATTTTTAGATATGTCAACTACTTAATAAAAAGTGAAGATGATAAATTTAAAGTAAATAAACATGTTAACTATCACTTTTCTCATACTTTTTAAATCAGTTTGTGAGATGGCAGTATCTTAATTTGATGTTTATTTGTTTTCCAGCGTTTTATTCAGTATTTGGCTTCAAGAAACACATTGTTTAACCTAAGCAATTTTTTGGATAAAAGTGGACTGCAAGGTAAAGACAACTTACTACAGAAAATTAAGAGTATTCCCATACAAAAATAGTTGCACAGAAAGTCAAGAGTATCCCCATATAATGATTGTTGCAGAATTAAACTCTTAGCATGTTACTGTTATAAACTTTTTGTTTTAGTGAGTGTTATAGTGGGGAACAAATTTGGATATTATGATTGATTTTTTTATTTTTCACTTTTTATTTATTATTTTGCCAGTCCTGGGATTTGAACCCAGGGCCTGGGCACTGACCCTGAGCTCTTTTTTTTTTTTTTTGTTGGTCGTGGGGCTTGAACTCTGGG